TCTCTTTTTTTTTTTATTCTGGGCCAGCTTTAGCTCTGAGGCCTCGCTGCTGAAAACATCGATACAATGTTGCGGTCCGAGCCCGGCTGAATGGAAGCCCTTTTCTGGGGTTTTGTTTAGCTTCTTATTTGCAACATAGTATATAGTTGCTTAGACTTGCAGCTGAGAGGCTGGCAAGTGAGGCGGGGAACGTTGGAGTCTGCAGCAAGCAAGCCTCGTGCTCGCTTCAGTGCCTGGCTGCCGGCCGCCATCTTGGCTGAAAGTTAATTTGCATATACTCACTGATTAGCCAATGAAAAGGGTAGCGGTCGTACGCCAATTACCATGTTTCTCTTTTATTAGTGTAGATTCTGCATTACCAAATGAAATAAGTAGCTTATTCACCTTCATTTTTTTTTTAATGTCACAGATAAAATCATAGCAGAGTCTCACTAATTCAGGAAATTCTGCATTGGTGCCTGGCTCAGAATGCTCTTAATAAATGTTTATGGAATAAAAATTAATTCAGAATCCTAGCTGGTTTGGCTCAGTGGATAGAGCTTCGGCCTGCAGACTGAGGGTCCCAGGTTTGATTCCAGTCAAGGGCACATGTCTGGGTTTCAGGCTCATGCCCCAGTAGGAGGCATGCAGGAGGCAGTCAATCAATGATTCTCTCTCATCATTGATGTTTCTCTCTCTCTCCCTCTCCCTTCCTCTCTGAAATCAATAAAAATATTCTTTTAAATTAATTCAGAGTCCATAAGAAAACTACAGTAGGTATATTTGAGACATTTGAGGAAATTGCATTGTATTTTGGAAGCACCATCTAAAGACAGTATGCTAATTAAACACTATGGAGTCACAGGATGTTAGAGATAAAAGAGACCTGGAGATAATCTATTCCAGCAAATTTCAGTTTAGTGTCAGGACTCCTTTATGCTCTTAAAAATGTTTGGGGACCCCATAAAGGCTTTGTGTATATGGACTGACTCTATGTACAAATATTAAACACATTAGGTTTGTAAACTAAGAAATGTGAAAACTACTTGCTTATCATTTTTCTTAAAAATAACTCCAGCCCTAACCGGTTTGGCTCAGTGGATAGAGCATCAGCCTGCGGACTCAAGGGTCCCAGGTTCGATTCTGGTCAAGGGCATGTACCTTGGTTGCGGGCACATCCCCAGTGGGGATTGTGCAGGAGGCAGCTGATCGATGTTTCTAACTCTCTATCCCTCTCCCTTCCTCTCTGTAAAAAATCAATAAAATATATTAATAAATAAATAAATAAATAACAAACTCCAGCCTGGCCAGTGTGGCTTGTGGTTGAGCATCTATGAGACAGGAGGTCACGGTCCGACTCCTGGTCAAGACACATGCTCAGGGTTGCAGGCTCGGTCCCCAGTGGGGGCATGCAGGAGGCAGCTGGTCACTGATTCTCTCTCATTATTGATGTTTCTATCTCTCTCTCCCTCTCCCTTCCTCTCTGAAATCAATAAAAAATATTTTCTAAAATAATAATAAACTCCATTGCATGTTAACAAAACAACATTTTTATGGCGAGGAAAACCCCTACATTTTCTAAAACAAAAAAATTAATAAGAGGCACTGTTTTACATTTCTGCAAATCTCTTTAGCATTTAACTATTAGCATACAGCTGGATTTTCATATCTGTTTCTGTATTTAATCTGTTGTGATATCACTCACCACACAGCTGCTGAAAGGGCCACTGTATAACTGTGGTAGAATGAGAATGAAAACTGTGAATAACCCCTTGGTATTATTCTGAAAATAATTTTGATCTCATAGGTGTCACAAACCTCAAAAGCTCCCCTGATTCAGTCCAAGCCTTTACTTTTCAGGTGTTACTAAGGTACAAACTGGGGTCAAGAAAAAATGCAATGCCCTGCCTAAAAAAAACAATAGCTTGTCTGTGATGGAAACAAGTCAAATTTTTGGAATCCCAGCCTGGGTCCTAATATGGGCCTTGCTTTCAGGCTTTCAAGCAGAAGCTATGGGCAATGGGGGAGGGGGGGGGGGTTACCACACTCAGGGCTGCCTCTACCCTCATCCTAAGCACTGCTGTGCTATCCATGCTTCAACTGCTATAAAGTACAGGTCAGATATTTCATTGGGCATACCGTTTTTCTTCTATTTTCCAATTGAATAATATCAGATAAGCTGATGGTAAAATAAGAGAAGTGATGAAAGAAAAATGACTAATCATACTTTATCAGAAAACAATTCAGATCAGCTTTAACAATTAGATTAATACTTACAGCCATCCTGTTTACAGATCCACTGTACACAATTGACTCGAGCAGTGTGACCATTCAGGTTGGTAATGACAACCCTTTTCTTTAACAAAGGAAAGCACCAGTTAGTAAATTAGAATCTATCCTACAGAAGAATTATTAAATTAATAAAGATCAGGTTTCAGTATTTTTGATGGATTACTTCAGACAAAAATCACCTTCCTTTAATTTTTAAACTTGTAACTGTGGCTTACACCATCCATTCACTCTAATTCTTTTCACCACTCCACAATCCCAGTGTCCTGTGCTCTCATCATACTAAGCTCTCAGGTCTTCACCTGCCTTGGTCCCGAGCACCACTCACTCCCCTTCCCACTCCTGTCCTCATCTGGGGAGCCTGTCTTGACACCCCAGGCTGGATAAGAAACCTCTTCCTGGTGCTCCCACAGGTCTCAGGGCCCTACTTCTATCATGCCTGCATCAATTTGAGGGTTTTGTTGAGGGGGAAAAAATCTTCAATAGAGGAATTTGTGACTAATGGGTACATACTCATGGCTCACTTTGCATGTCATGACTAATCAGGTATTGATCCGCACCTGATAAGTGCTTAGGATACCCTTCCCCTGTGACCTTTACCCCAATGGCACTTTCTTTTATTTATTTTTAAAAAATGGTTTATTTATTTTTTACAGAGAGGAAGGGAGAGGGATAGAGTTAGAAACATCGATGAGAGAGAAACATCGATCAGCTGCCTCCTGCACACTCCCTACTGGGGATGTGCCGGCAACCAAGGTACATGCCCTTAACCGGAATCGAACCTGGGACCCTTGAGTCCGCAGGATGACGTTCTATCCACTGAGCCAAACCGCTTAGGGCAAACTGAATCTTAATAATATTAATGGACTCAGCAGAATCAAAGGGGACCTGGGATGTTAGCCAGGAATCCAGTTTCCAATCGCCAGTTCTATTATTCTAGCGACTTCTACTAAATATTGGTTTCAAAGTCTCTTGTTGCTATAGGCACAATCCGGGCATGTGCCCCCGACAGGAATCGAACCCGGGACCCTTCAGTCCCCAGGCCGATGCTCCATCCACTGAGCCAAACCATCCAGGGCGGCACTTTCGTTTAAATGTCCAATTCCAGCCATGGCAGGGTAGCTCGGGTCAGGGCACATACAAGAATCAACCGATGAATGCATAAATAAGTGGAACAATGAATCTCTCTCTCTTTCTCTCTCTCTCAAATCAATAAATGAAATAATTGTTTAAAAAAAATAAAATGTCCAATTCCAAAGCTAAAATACAAGTGGCAAGTTTACATAACTGCGGGAAATATAGAATGAGATAGCATCTGTGATAATGGATTTAGTCCGTACCTAAACTGCAAATCTTTCAAAACCCAAACTAATTTTTTTAGCAGTATTAGTTTCCACAGAAGGCTTCCGAAAAGGTCATCATCATTCAGGTGTCTACGTGGGGCTAACCGGTGGGACCTGGTGACCCCAGGCTGATGGCGGCGCGCCCAGACACCCCGCCCCTTGCTCAGGCGCCCGGCCACCGCCCTTACCCGCGGGTCGTAGAGCACCACGGAGCAGGAGGTGCCGAAGGCCAGAAGTCCTCCGGGCCCCGAGTTCCAGCTCAGGGCTCCCCGCACCCGGTTGGGGCAGCAAAATACGTGAGATGCCTCCAGCGCGGATGCCACCATGTTGCTGGCTGGTCCGAGGCCGAGTTCTGGGGGCGCACTTCCGCCCTCTGAGCGGAACTACGCACGAGGCCGCCCCTCCCGCTGGCGTGGTCCGC